AACGAGTAAGCTATAAACCTACAATTGCTGTTTGGGACAATCACAGGATAAAAGCGGAGAAGCATGTAGAAGAATGTGTAACTCAATTTTGAGGTAATTGCAAGATCTGGTTGTTTCAGCCTTGAAGTTTCTTAAGACGACTTTATTAGGGAAGGTTCGCAACCTGGAATATGCTAGGAAAAGATAACAGAGAAAAGTAAAGGTGATATTTAGAGCTTAAGGAAAGGAAACTATAGTTAAAAATGTCCCAGCTCAGTAAAACGATTTTAGTATTCATAAAATTTCATCTTATTTATAAATTTCTATTATATAAATACAGAAATATAGCTACAATGTAAAATAATAAAGTGGTTATCAGATTTGATCTCCCTCGGTACTTTCCTAGGTAAAAAAGGATAAACAAACTATTTTTTTCGTCAATTTCTTTTGGAATATCATCAACCCAGGACTTAAAATTTAAAGATAGATTAACTACCAATTAAGGACATAGAAAAGAAAGCAAAATGCAGAACCACACAGACACTGGTGAATTCCGAAAAGAAGCATCATAGACGCATCTGTGGCTGTCCTCTACCTTACAGCATTGAGCAATCATCATAATATAATTGTATCAAAGGTCCAGTTTCATAAAATTCGAACCAATACTTTTTGTGCATACACAACATGAAATGACATATTATGGCTTGACTTTCTTGTATGTACCTTCAGCAACAATGGCTTCATAAGCAGGAGGTTGAGACTGCCAGTTTCCTGCAGCATCTTTCATGTGACTTCTATCAGATGCAAATGACTTGAGAAAAATTGGTGCATGCACAATCCGGAAATACCTGAAATGGGGGTGGGGGATTAATAAAGACATGCGCATCAACTATACAAACAAAGCTTCAGTAATATATGCCCGTATAATCTGTTTTTTCAGGATATAGTATCTGTTACCTTTTAAACTCTGAAAATAATGGAAAGGAAGGACGAGTTGTTTCAGCAATATAGGATGCTAGGGGAGAAGGAAACGGAAGGGTGGAATCTAAATCCCACACTAGGTCGGATGAACTTTCATCTTTCCTTTTCTGAAAAAGAAGAAAATTTTAATGAATTCGAAATTGGTAATACAATTAGCTTATAAAGTAGGTTTAATATCTGACCCTTTTGAGCAGAGATATGAACACATGGAAAGCCAAATTCTCACCTGTATGCATATAACATGATAGTCCCACAGAACAACACCATCTGCCCTATGGCTGGCCTTTTGATTCCATAATGGGACCTGAAGGATATCATGGAAATTAGCATAGTTGCATTTCATACATATACCGTCAATTATATGTTTACAAGTACACTTTCTTATTATGTAGTAACCAACTATCAATCTCGTTACACTAATCTTATGCCAAATAGGGTAGCCTCTCGGGTAGAAATTCAAGAATAACATTTTGAGAAGAAAATATTCCACTTTTAGTCGTAGGACTATAAAGTCATACTCCGTATCACATTTTTAAGAAAATTGTTCAAAATAAGACTAAAACGTTGACAAAATTTTAAAATAGGGCTAAGTGTGTTTTCGTCCCAAAATAGGACTTATTTACTCCTATTAAACGAATAAATAATAGAAAATTCCCAAAATAGGAGTGAATGAGTCCTATTTAGAAAAAAAACAATGGCACTCCTATTCGAAGAATTATATTATTTTTTACTCCTATTTAGGGAATTCTCTCGTCTTCTATCAATTATCCAATGATAAAGAAATTGTTTGAAAAAGTGGTATGAAGCAGTGGAAGACCTATATTGGTTTCAAAGTGTTCACATGTGGACACCCAAAAGTTGAAAATAGAAGTAAACAATGTGTAGAATTGATGTAATAATTTTTGTATAATATTTCTTGACTTTAACTTCATTTACTAGTTTTATTGTTGTTGAAAAGACATATTGTAGACAATAAATTTGTTCAATTTTTTAATAGCAAAATTATTCTAATCTGAACACACAAAACTCGGATGTTAAATCTGCCACTGGTTTGAAGGACCAAAAGTGGAGTGAGTACTTGTGAAAACTGTTAAAAGTTAATTTGGTATCACAAGAACATGATTATCAATCCCTAGCAGTAAGCCATTTTACTTTTCCAATAACTCAGCAAAAAGTGAAAAACTAATGAATCGTATACTAGACTTAACCTAAACAAATCAAGACAGTGAAAATTAAGAACAAAAAGTGGAATGCCTGCTTTTTATCATTGCAGATGAACACAGCAAACAAATCAGAAGCATCTGGATTGGCCAAGCCATCAGCGCACAGCTTCTTGCATAGCTGGTATACATTTTCCTCACTACAATGAAATGTGAAATCAACATGAGCAAGAATTTAAAAGGCCAGCATTGAGCTATAAGGACATTCAATGTCAAATAACATCAAAAATCGATTTTGTGCTGAGGCCAATTTCAGAATAATCGGTAACCAAAATGATCAAGGGTTTTCAAGTAAGCACACAAGCGAAAACCACCGGCGATCGTAGACACTGGAGTAAATACAAAGGAAAAACAAAACCACAAAACTAAGGCATTTCCACCAAAATGAATGTTTCATTTCATACCAGTAAAAAGGGGTGTGTTGGAAGGAAGAGAGTTCCAAGTTCGTGGTTGTAGTCATCTTCCCTATTCTTCCCTTTTCACTTGCCGGCGGAATTAGAAGTTATAGAAATTTTTAAGAAGTCACATGTTTCACATGTGATATTTTTTAAATTTTACTCCCTCACGCTGGAAAATTTGCCCGGTTTGACTTGGATCAGAATTTAAGAAAATGAGAATAAAGTAGAAATGTGCGATTTTGGTTGAGTAAGAAAAATGTAAATAAATTGTAGCGACACAAACCTTTCAAAAAAGGGAAATGAAAAAAATATTTTGGGACATCCCATAAAGATAAGTGAGAAGAATTTTTTGAAACGGAGGTAGTAATAAAGACGTTGGTATTTAGGATGTTTTCTTTATGACTGTTTTCAGTCCCAAACCAGACCAAACCAGACCAGACCAGATCAGACCAGATCAGACTTCTGTAGTTATAAGGATGTTTTCTTTTGGACTGTTTTCATTCTCAGACCAGACCAGACCAGACTTGACTTCCGTAGTTATAAAATACACAGAGACCAGACGTTTACCAGACCAGACCAAACCAGCAAATTTCAGTCCAAAAGAAAACATCCTAAAATACACAGAGACTAGACGTTTACCAGATCAGACCAGACCAGTAAATTTCAGTCCACAAAAAACATCCTTAGCTGTAATTTATACTATAAGTAGTATATCGTTGACTTTTTTTGTATAGAAATAAAAATTATATACATACAATTATATTTGTAGATTATTTCATGATTGTTCAATTCATTGATTATTAGTAAACCGTTGATAATAATTGTTCAGTACAAAGCAAACAAAAACATTAATGTCAAATAAGACTTCGATGAAACATTAAGAATATTAAGATTAAGATTGATAAACCTACATTGCATTTTCAATCACAAATTAAAGAACAAATCACAGAAAAATTGGATTTTCAGTTTGAGTTAGGGGTTAATGTTTTTCTGAAAAATGATTGTAATTCTAAATTGTTTTATCAGTAATACCCTTTTTCCTCGCAAAAAAGAAATATTGTTGGCTAAAGGGTCAAATAGGTACATGAATTAACTTAAAGTGTTCAATTAGCCCCTTATACAGGAGGTTCAGCCCGGCCATCGCCAATTGGGGAGGTTCCCGGTTGAACTTTTTGATGAATTTTTTTTAGCATCTTCTTCATTAAGTCTAGTTTACTCATACCAAATTTCAGCTAAAAATTCAACCGGAAAGGTAGTCAAATGATTTTCCGAAATGTATTGCGCTGTTTAACTGCGCAGTTATCTTTAAAAAATCATTTGACTGCCTTCACGATTGCATTTTTAGCTGCAATTTGGTATGTGTAAACTAGACTTAATGAAGAAGATGCTCAAAAAATTTCATCAAAAAATTCCACCGGGAACCGCCCCAATTGGCGACGGACGGGCAGAACCTCCTATATAAGGGACTAATTGAACACTTTAAGTTAGTTCATGTACCTATTTGACCCTATAGCCAATATTGTTCAACAAATTTGAGATCTTAGCTACATTTCGAAGTAATTCAACTAAATAAGTGCAGATAAATACAACAATCAATTTTTCACTAAAAGAATAAATTTCAGATCCATGCATGGTTGAAATCAGATGAATATGAGATCCAGATCTTAGATAAATTTGAGATATGGCGTAGTGTATACTTGTTGAGTTATCTCGTTCATGATTTATTCATGTCGTCTTAATTGCCTAGATCAACTTGGTCTTTTTTTAGATTCAATTACTACTAGAACTAATAGAAACGTGAGGATTTGCTCCAAAAAAAAGTTTATTCATATAAAAGTAAACAATGACATTTTTATATACTTTGATATCAAACATACAACCTTCAAACATCAAAGAGTAGTGCCTGTTAAACATAATTCTAGCTTACACAAAAAAATACTCCGTATAATTTAGATACAAAACGATCATTTTATGTGCGTACCCAAAAAAATATTATTAGGAAAGGATGAATTTACATTAAAATTCTATTCATACATTAAACAACATTTGTGAAATATATGCATTCAATGTTCGTTAAAGCAGACTTTCAATGTCGGTTCAAAACGTACTGGCATTGTACACTACATAATGAAGCCGACTAGCTCCCCTCCTATATATACGTCCTCGAATAAAAGTATACTTTTGATCAGACTCATTACAGTAGTTTATTTATTCTTAAAAAGACTAATAAGTAATTACTACGTGGAGTATTACGTAGAAGTAAATATGAAACTTTTATTTATTTAACATAAATTTCGTATTATTATCAAACATCTTATGGTTCGATGACATCGTTGTTGTGATACTTCCAAGAAGAAGATCACATGTTCAAAATCCACCCTCACATGTTGATACTTGATAGATTATTTAATCCTAGAGAGAAGTGAGAGCTAGAGAGATAAAGTGATATGTATAATGAATTCCAATCAACCATCCCATCTTCTCCCTTTACATGGCTCCCATAGGGAGTATTTATAGGAGAAAAGAGGGTTGGGCTTCCAGGCTTGGGCCTGGCTGGCCCAGTTACAATAAAAGGCCAATAAATGGCTAATAAATGGTATCTAATCTATTCTAATGGATATACATGAATAAAATAGAGTGTACAATGAGATAAATGCTATCTACTGAGCGTATGTGGGCCGCTGTCCGGGCCCAATAGTCGTGAGACCCGGGGGTCCGAGTCTATATACTCTATCAGGAGTCCCCCACTCTCTGAGTCGAGAGTACTTGAGGCGAAAGAGAGTAGAACTGTGTGCTGATCTGTCGTCGTCCGGTGAGTAAACTGCTCTCATCGTCGAAGCGCCTCGCCCGGATTCCCAAGTCGATGATCCGATCCCACTGGTGAGCCCTGGCTGAGGCAACCCTGTGGGAAAATCCTCAGCCGAAGGTCGCAGGCCAGAGACCATCACCACCGGTCCTGAGGCCGGGGAGCTATGTATATGTACTGGCCGATGTGGCAGCTGAATATGTATGTGATATGATGATGTCGTCGGTGCGAGTGGCAATCCTTGCAAAAATTTTGAATTTCTGCTTCTTTGGTAGCGAAGGCGCTAAGTCCCCCGCTCTCCCAGTCCCCCACTCCTTGAGGCGAGTGTAACGAGGTGAAGAGGAGTAGAGTAATGCATGTCTGATGATGTCTGCAACAGGGGGCCGAGGGTTGACACCTTTTGATCCACAATGGGGCGATGCCTCGTTAAAAACCTCATTAGGAAAAACCCTGTGGGAAAAAATCCTAATGAGGGAAAAAGAGTACATCGGATGCCCCCAGAACGAAGCAAAAGGTGCGAGCCCTTCGGCCTAGAGGTGGAGCTGCAGCGGTGTCCGTCTGCCGAGGGGATGGCCGAGGCCGATCCATAGATGTGGGTAGCTCGTCATGATCAGTAGTCCTAGTCATCAAATAAAGATGACTAAGGGATGGGTCGAGCGACCGTCCATAATATGATGTCTGGTTCATCAAATAAAGATGACCGGAATATGAGGCCGATGGGCCGATGTGAGCTCCACGTCATCAAATAAAGATGACTGGGAGTAGTGGCCGAGAGGCATATATGAGAGCTCCACGTCGTCAAATAAAGACGAAGGGGCGATGTGTGGCCGAGGGGCCTGGATAAGAGCTCCACATCGTCAAATAAAGACGACGGGGTGATGTATGGCCGAGGGGCCTGCATAAGAGCTCCACGTCGTCAAATAAAGACGACGGGGCGAGATATGGCTCAGAGGCCTATAGATGAGTTCCTCGTCATCAAATAAAGATGACAGAACGATATGTGGCCGATCGCTAACCGAAGACATTCGGCAATGAGAGGCCGGTCTCGGAGATAGGACATCACATCGTGGCCTAGGGGCCGATCGTGATGTGAGGACGGCCGTGATAAGGAGCCGATACAAAATAACAATGACGAGGCGATGATAAGCCGGTCGCCATGTAGGGGCGATAGTCACCATCCAGGAAGGGATGGCGAGCCTGATCGCTAGCTCAACACACTCGGCGCTGATGAAGCCGGTGTTGAGATAGATCATCACGCCGAGGCCGGGGCGGCGGTCGTGATATAAGGATGGCGATAATGGGTAGCCGATCCGAATAATGATGACGAGGCAGAGATGAGCCGGTCGTCATGTAGAGGCGACGGTCACCATCCAGGAAGGGATGGGGAGCCCGATCGCTAGCTCAACACACTTGGCGCTAATAAAGCCGGTGTTGAGATAGGGCATCACGTCGAGGCCGGGGGGGGCGATCGTGATGCGAGGTCGTCAGCACTATGAGGCTGAGCCAAACGTCCAAGCAACGGTCGCCATCCGATGAAGGAATGACTGAGACCGGTCTTGGGGAATATGATCACGTCGAGGCCGAGGGCCTGCCATGATCGGCACTGAGGGGCCGACCCAAAAATCCATGCAATGGTCGCCACCCAGTAAAGGAATGGCTAAGACCAGTCTTGATATAGGGTACCGCGCCTTGGCCGAGAGGCCGGCCGCGGTGCGAGGATGACGACTATGATAAGCCGGTCCAATGTATGATGACGAGGCAATGATAGGCCAATCGCCATGTAGAGGCGACGGTTGCTATCCCGGAAGGGAATAGCAAGCCCAATCGCTAGATCAAGACACTCGGCGCTGAGGGAGCCGGTCTTGAGAAGGAATAATCACACCAAGGCTGGGAGGCCGGTCGTGATGTGCGGATGGCGATGATGAGCCGATCCGAATAATGATGACGAGGCAGAGATGAGCCGATCGTCACATAGAGGCGACGGTTGCTATCCCGGAAGGGAATAGCAAGCCCAGTCGCTAGCTCAAGACACTTGGCGCTAAGGGAGCCGGTCTTGAGCTAGATCATCACGTCGAGGCCGGGGGGGCGATCGTGATGTGCGGATGGCGATGATGATGAGCCGATCCGAAGATCCAAGCAACGGTCGCCATCCGGGAAGGGATGACTAAGACCGGTCTTGAGATAAGGTATCACGCCTTAGCCGAGAGGCCGGACGCGATGTAAGGACGACGGCGATAATGAGCCGGTCCAACATATGATGACGAGGCGATGTGAAGGCCGATCGTCATATAGAGGCAACGGTCGCCATCCAGGAAGGGACGGCGAGCCCGATTGCCAACTCAAGACACTTGGCAATGAGAAGCCGGTCTTGAGGAGAAATAATCACGCCAAGGCTGGGAGGCCGGTCGTGATGTGCGGATGGCGATGAGGAGCCGATCCGGATAATGATGACGAGGCGATGATGAAGCCGATCGTCATATAGAGGCAACAGTCACCATCCAGGAAGGGACGGCGAGCCCGATTGCCAACTCAAGACACTTGGCAATGAGAAGCCGGTCTTGAGGAGAAATAATCACGCCAAGGCTGGGAGGCCGGTCGTGATGTGCGGATGGCGATGAGGAGCCGATCCGGATAATGATGACGAGGCGATGATGAAGCCGATCGTCATATAGAGGCAACGGTCACCATCCATGAAGGGACGGCGAGCCCGATTGCCAACTCAAGACACTTGGCAATGAGAAGCCGGTCTTGAGGAGAAATAATCACGCCGAGGCTGGGAGGCTGGCCGTGATGTGCGGATGGCGATGATGATGAGCCAATCCGAATAATGATGACGAGGCGATGATGAAGTCGATCGTCATATGGAAGCGACGGTCGCCATCCAGGAGGGGAATGGCGAGCCCGGTCGCTAGCTCAAGACACTTGGCGCTAAGGAGGCCGGTCTTGAGATAAAGCATCACGTCGTGGCCGAGGGGCCGATCGTGAAGAACGGATGGCGATGATGATGAGCCGATCCGGATGATGACGAGGCGATGATGGGCCGATCGTCATATGGAAGCGACGGTCGCCATCCAGGAGGGGAATGGCGAGCCCGGTCGCTAGCCCAAGACACTCGGCGATGAGAAGCCGGTCTTGAGATGAATAATAAGTTTGGGGAATTTATTTATTTTTTTTGCTCGAGGCCGGTAAGTGCGCGGTCCGTCGGCTTCCCTCTTTTTTTTTTTGGGTGGCCGAAGGGTTACTGTCCCTTCGTCCATGTGCGGTAGTTTGTCCGCTACGCTTTTCGCGTGGATTAGTGCGAGGGAGTAAATACGCCCTCGGCTTGGTATGCATGTCAGTGGCATCTTTTTTGGCCTTTCCACGTCTATCGTCGACGAGGGACCGGACTATGCATCGTCTTTTGACGGCCGCCCTTTGTGGTCCTGAGCGAAATTTTACTGACGGGTGGAGTTTTCGTAACCTCGGCCTTAATTCAGGCTTGTCGTCCTGCGGTTTCCGCGCGGACGACGCGGTATGCTTCTCCGTTTGAAGACGTCGGACCATACACACAGGTCCTTCGTCTTGCATATCGCCGGCCGATTTGGGTGTTTCACCGCTTGTGCCGATACGATATTTAGGTGCGTTGTTTATTGCAACGGCTTTGTAGGCGCGTTGTGGATCGCAACGGCCTTAGGTGCGTTGTGTATTGCAACGGCTTTGGGTGCGTCGTTTATTGCGACGGCTTTAGGTGCGTTGTTTATTGCAACGGCTTTGAGTGCGTTGTTTATTGCAACGGCTTTGGGTGCGTCGTTTATTGCGACGGCTTTAGGTGCGTTGTTTATTGCAACGGCTTTGGGTGTGTTGTTTATTGCAACGGCTTCTGGATGACGCAATTAGCGTCTAGGGGAATGAGGCGTACCGCTTTTAGGCATAATGTCGTGTGCGGCCGATGATGGCTCTCATTCTAGATATTCGGGTCATCAAATAAAGATGACCGGGGTAGGTCAAGGGACCCAAATATAATCCGAATCATCAAATAAAGATGTTCGGAAGGTTAAGGCTTTGGCCCGCACCAATTGGGGATTTTAATCCGCTAGCAATGGTGGTGATAATAATAATAGTAGTAGTAATTATTATTATTATTTTGTTTTTCTTTTGAATAGTTAGTAAAACTATATTTTTTTTAAATAGTGGTAAAACTATTTTGCTCCATATTTAATGCATAAAATAGGAGGAAAGGTTTGTGGCACTTACTTGTATTTGGGCCGAAGCCTGCCCTGCTTAGTATTCAAGCAGGGAAATATGAGATTGGGCCTGACCGGCCCATACTTTACTAGTCCAATGTGTCATTTGAGATGCTAGGAGGTCCTGTCTCATTAACTTCATCCGCAGGAGGGGGAGAAGTAAATTCGAAGGAGGCGTGAAAGAGAGACGAGGAGACTCCGCGTCGCTGGAGTGCACTGTGGACGAGGAGGTCCCTGCTATACCCGATTTAGGCTTGCGAACTCCAGATCTCAGTTTCTGGATTTTTTTTTCTTTTGTTGGCCGAGGCGGAGCTTTAGCCGAGGCGGTGGACGGTGTGGTGTAGGGACGAGGCGACCCCGTTCTGGCCGACGTGATTTCTGGCCGATGTGTGTTTCCTGGCCGGCGGTAGTGTTGCCGGCCGTAGGTGTCGCCGGCCAAAGGAGTTATCTGCCTCTCCTTGGTTGTTGTTGGTCGTCCTGGCCGATGTGAAGTGACTACGGCCCAGGCTGCTTTCCCATTTGTGAACGCATATGACAGACGAGGCGACGGGCATCTCCAACATGGCCGGGGTTCTCGGGCATAAGAGTCACAACGCGCGAGCTGTAAAGAGCTCTCCTTGGCCGAAGCAGCTGCCTTTCCTTTGTTTAAGACGAGGGGGTGCTTTTGTTTTGCTTGGCCGAAGAAGAACCACCAGGTGTTTGAGGATGAGGGTCCCACTTGTCCGAGCTGGGAGTCGTTGGACGATGCACTCACACTGCCGATGGTGTGTCGTTCTCACCTCTGTTTTCACCGATGGTGTGGCCGGTCGATGCGTTCTGGCCGAAGGGTTCTGGCCGCTGGTGTTGCCGGCCGACGGGTTACCGGCCGATGGTGTCATGGCTGATGCGTCGCGGCCGGAATGTTGCTGGCCGTTGTATGCCGGCCGATGCGGTGCCTCCCTCAATTGTTTGGCTGATGGTGTGCACCGGTGTTGCCGATGGGGACCGCTGTGGACAAGGGGCACTGAGGAGCTTCTCTTGGCCGAAGGGACTGCCTCTCCCTTGTTTGAACCGATGTTTTGTCAGTCGACAGGTGTGCCGGCCGATGCGTTACCAAGGTGTGAGTGACCCCCTGGTTTGGACGGGGAGCCAGTTGCCTAATTCAATTGCTTGGCCGAAGCGTGTCATCCCCATTGATTAGGCCGATGGTGGTATGGCCGATAGTGTTGCAGAGGTTATTCCAGACGTTGTGCAGTTCATCCGGGGGATGGATTCGTTGGTTCCCTTCTGCTTTCAGGACGGAGGTGCTGCCATGGTCCTTCCCCTTCGGGCCGATGCGGTCTGGTCGATGGGGTTCCGGCCGATGGGGTGCGCCACTTCTTGCTTCCAGGACTGGGTGAATTGGCAGAAGGGTCCCAATAGGCCGAGGGGTGCACCAATACTTGGCCTATTCTGGTTCGGCCGAGGGATTGCCGACGTGGGGCACCAGGGAGCTTCCTTTGGGCGAAGTAATGCCGGCCGATGTGGTGCCGGCCGAAGTGTGACATTGATGTCCTTGGCTGAGCCGAAGGTGTACTTGGGCTTCTCGTCCCAATTTACTGAGGAAAGTTCTTGGCCGTTGATCT